TGGGGCTATAGGGCTTTGGGGTTTAGGGGTTTACGGTTTAGGGTTTAGGGTTTAGGGTTTAGGGTTTAGGGTTTAGGGTTTAGGGTTTAGGGCTTAGGGCTTTGGGGTTTAGGGGTTTAGGGGTTCAGGGTGAAGGGTTCAGGTTAAAGGTTTACTATATGGTCTTGCTTTGTTTTGTCGATCTTCGGCTCGGGGTTCGGGGTCTTACCTGTTATGTAAGGTTTAGGATTTGTAGTGCGGGAGTTTAAAGTGTTTGGGGCTTAGGGCTTAGGCCTACAAGACGCTTGATAAAACCCAGCAATACCCATAGTAAACCCTGAAAAAGGGAGCTTAGGGCTTCGGGTTTAGGGTGAAGCCCTTCCGGATACTAAACTTACTAAGCCCCTACAGTGTCCTACAGGAGCCCTGCTCATTTTTTGCTTGGGGGCTACGCTTTAGGAATCCTTGCGGCTTCGAGATCCCATGGCTGTTAGGTCCAAGAGCCGCCATATACGGGCCTTGAAAGTTAGAGTAGTCCAGAGCCCAAGCATCGCCGTGCTATGGTTTGGGGCCCTATAAGAGCTTGCTGCTTCATCCCTTAGATCCGGGTCTGAGTGCCCCGTCGCAAGAGGAATCTCGTCAAGCGGCGGTATTCCGGATGACCTTTTGGAACGGATTGTACCAAGGACTCCCACTGTCCGATGAATCTATGAAGTCTTCGTCAGGGAAAGAAGAGTACGTAGTGTGACAGGTCCATCTCCTCCACCAGGTGCCAAGCGGCATGATGTTTCGGAACAGCTTTCCAGCGTGCTGTTCCCTTTGAACTGAATGTGGCGATGAGCACCTCGTACAGTCCCAGGAAAGGTTGCATCGAGTCATGCATGAAGCGGCACTGCTCATCGGTGTTGAGGTATACCATATTATAGTTGTAAAGCCTTAGGGAGGGGCCTTGATAATTGGAATAGGGTGCTGCCGCATACTATAGTCTAGTTAAAAAGCCTTATATGGTTTACCCTAAACCCTGAACCCTAGACCCTAAACCCTAAACCCTAAACCCCAACGACTACAATTCCTCAGGTTTGGACTTACGAGATCCCTCTTAGGTCCTTCTTCGGAGTATTCAGGCCACCCTACCCCCGTCCCCCTTAATCTAGGGGCCTCAATAATTTGAATGGGTTTTGGGGCCCAGTATACTATAACTTATAATAACAAGGAAGGACACCCCAAAATAGCATCATAGGCTTTTGGGCCCCATTATACTATAGTATAATAGGCTTTTGGGCCCCATTATACTATAACTTATAATCACAAGGAAGGACACCCCAGAATAGTATAGGTAATTATTTAGGCCCCTACGTTACCCCACAAGGATCGTGGTGACACTCCCGAGGATTAGGAAACTTGGGGTTGGATGTAGGGGCCTTAATAATT